TCAACCAAGTACTGCTAATATCACGTTAAAAACTCCATTCCCTTCAAGACAGATCCAGTACTTCAAGCCCATCCATAACCCTTTTCAACATTTCTTGAAACCCTTTTGGAAGAACAATCATATGGGGCAATAAGGTGAGCCACCCATCATATGCCCTAATACAAGAAGTTTTGCTTCAAATCCAGATCCAAGGTTCAAAATATTGATACATCCGATATGCCTGTATGTTGGACAGTATTGATAGTTTGTTTTTTTTTTAATTTTTTTAAATCTGGTTCAAATAGGCCGGTTTAAGATCCGTCCACCCCCTGAACCAATTGAAACCCCATTACACTTATGTAGGGGTATATCGGAAAGCTTCTAATACAATACATATCAACTGATATAACCCGATATGTATCAATAGTTTAAACCTTGTCTGAACCTGCCAATAAAACATGTCCTAATACCCTACAAGGAGATCCCAGCTGTTCTGGCCGCTCCTTTTGTGACCGGGTTGGTTTGGTGGTAAGACCTTAATGTTGAGATGAAACAAGATAACTTCTTTTTAGATTAAGGTTTAAAAATTCTCTAGGCCATTTGGAAKGCTAGATTTAGGTTGGTTTTTGAGAGAACCTTTTTCACCCACTTCAGATTAGAGGTGTAAAGTGGGCCATGTTGGGCCGGTCCACCCTAAAGGTGGGTCGTGCTGTGCTGGCCCACAGGCTGCCACGGGCCTTGTCGTCCTCCCTGGTGGAAATTTTGAGGGTCAGCTCAGCACGGCCCACGGCCCACGGCTCATGGCCCAGGCCCATGCAGACCCGTGCCATGCCGGGCTGGGCCACAAGGCGGGCTTTGGGCATGGGCCGAACCGAGATAGACTCACTGAATCTAAATGGATCAAATCAAATGTCATATCAGGGATTCAAGATCACTAGATCAGGATTTAGGAATGAGGATAGGAAACGAATAATAAATTAATAACAAATTTATGATTACCCAATAACCCAAAGAATAAATAAATAAAAGTATAAAACAATTCAAATAGGAATT